CGGCTGCCTTGCCACTGCAGCACCCCTTGCTCCCCCGGCACCAGCTCCCTGCTGGCAGGAGCTGGCATTTGCACCCTGGCCGCCCCGCGGCGCTCCGGCGACCAGCACTTCGCCAGCCGCCCTGGCACGCAGGGCAGCCGCTGCCAGCAGGCTCCCTCCCAGTGCCCCGGCAGAGGGGCCTCTTGGCCTGCTCTTGCAGTCCCAGTATGTGTTCAAAGCCTGAATTAATGAACCAAAAAAAATCAATATCTTGGTTGTTTTGTTGAATGCTGAGCAGGTTCTGCTAGAGGAGAAAGAACAGGAGAGAAAAGCCAGGGGACAGGGAAGCAAAGAGTGTTAGCGCTGCTGTTCACCTCTCTACGCTAACCCGAGCACGGAGAACCGCAGGGGACTTAACCCTCAGGGAAACGTCCAGGCGGGCCAGCCGGACAGAGGGTGTCACGGAGAGCCCCGCCGATGGCTGGAAGCACGCCGCAGAGAAGGGCTGCTCCGAGCCCAGGCACGAGCATCGCAGATCCCCCCTGAAGCAGGAGGAGGCGGCTTCCTCCGGTCCCTTGCAGCAGCAGAAAACGTACGGAGGTGGCGAGAACAACTCACCAGCTACGGTAGCTTAGGAGAAGGAATTAAAGGCCAGACTCCCCCGGCTTTGCTCTCTCTGCTTGCCCACCTGTTCCCTGCGGAGCCAGCCCCTGCCAATATGGTTTGAACCTTACGTATGTTTATTCTGCCTTACTATTTTATCATCTATGTCTTTAACAGGGATTAAAGTATACCCCACACGAAGCCATAGCGCTGGGCTGGTGGAGCCAGCCTCCCCTGGAGAAGACCATCCAAAAGGAGCATACGCACGATAAGTTACCATGTCCCATAAGAAAACTGCACTATTTTACATTGTGTGCATTACAAGAGCAACTAAGCACCGTATAACAGACTTAAAACATGCAATGGCCAAAAATTGCCTCACAGGGTTATGACCTTCACATATTCCATATAACTCAAATCCTCCAACTGATTAAATTGCTACATCATATGTAAAGAAAACACAAGCCTGTTAGACTTCCCCAGACATTTGCAATTTGATTAAATAGCTGGATATACTTTAAATTACACAATCTGATTTCCTTTAAAGACGTATTTTGGTAGGCACAGCACTCACAGGCGCATGATGCAGATGGCTCTGTGCTGGCTGCTCCTCACGAGCATGGTCCCGTCTGGGGCCTGCAGGCCAAAGCCACCCAGGGCCATAACCCACGCACTGCGAAGGGGCCGTTGGGCCCCGAACACCACTGTGAGCCCGGCCGCTGCTGCAGGGAGCCGGGGGCCAGCGCTCGGGAGGGAAGCGCTGAGCGGCTTGTGCGGAGGGACAGGCGGGAACCCTGCAAATCGTGGTGCTGGAGAAGCAGATTTGCACGCGGCAGGGAAAAGCCGTCCCTACTCTCTGGCCTGATGTCGGACGTGCAAATGCTATTTAAAGCAGTGACGTCACACCCTGCCGACCGTATGAAGACAGGCAAGATAGTGAATACGTTATTGCTGTTTTTAGCAGCCATGGCTCCAAGCTAGTTCAGGGGAGTGTTTGCTAGGTGTCCTAGGACCAGGCTGTAAAGGATGACTCATGCCACAAACATAACAATGAGATAATAAAACTTCCTTTATCTGTTTTTTTTTTTTTTTTAATTAGGAAAAGGAGGCACTGAGAGCTTGCCTTTTTCATTGGCACACAGCGCGACTGTCACAGGGCTGGGAGGGAACCTGTACCTCCAGTTCCTTGCCCTTAACTAAAGTCTGGCCTTTTTGGATTTTGGCTAAGGCTTCCTCTAATGCTGCTGCAATGGTAATGAATGCAACAAGAAACATTAAACACCACTAATATCTTCCTCCATTACATATTACTCACATTTTTATGGAGTATCACCAACCACATTTTAAGCATCCTCTCTGTTGTGCATAAAGACTGTTTTTAACCCAAAGAAAAAAATCTAACAAATCAATGCCCAGAATTCCATCTGTGGAAAAAAGGATTTTTTTTTTTTTTTTTTTTACAATCAGAAATACTTTCCACTTTTGTGCCAGGTTTTGGCTTGTCTTCCCAGATAATTAATAAATCAGTCAGGCTCCCTGTTCATACTTAGCAAGCTGGTAAAGTCTCTGACAGAAATGTCCGAAACAACTTGAGCACAAAAAAACCCTCTTTATCCATTAGTTTATCCCTTCCTTCTGCAGGCTTTACCTGGCAGGACTGAAATGCCAGGGTTGCACAGGAACAGGCCTACGGCTCCTAGCTCCACTGCACGGCCCCCAGAGCAGAGGGCTTATTCCATCCCCTCGCCCCAGAGCGGCGAGGCAGGTCTCGGGACGGTCCCTAACCACCTCCTACCCTCGTTGGCTGCAGCAGCTCTGCAGCACAGACCTCTCGCTAGGACCAAGAGTTAGAAGCATTTCAGCAAACCTTCTCCTGAAGCAGACTGCCATTCGAGCTCAGCTAACCTATGGTTGATTCCTACACAAAGTGCACCTCCGCAGCCTTGTGATAGTTGCTGCTCTGACCAACCAAAGAATCAAAGTACTTGAACGCTTGATGAGCAGATATAGTAAGGCCACTGCAGCAATCGGAGCAAGCAAGAGTACAGATACATGCAGCTTTGGGGGGATTTACTCTTGCCATCCTGGGCAAATCTCCACTAGCCGGTTACCAGAAAGCACTAGCACTGCAAGTGCCATTTCTGTCTGTAGCAACTCCAGAGGGGAGACAGGGCTAGCACGGAGGGCAGTGTAAAGTCACTGCCTGAAAACCTCACCAAGTGCCATGAATCCCTACAAGCCTTTGGGTTCCCAGGCACAGTTCGCAGCTGACCCCGTCGCAGTCGGCACCAGCAGCAGTGCTGCAGCGTCAGCCCCGAGCTGGTGCGGGCGAGGCAGAATCAGCCCCGCGATTCAGATAGCAGGGTGAACAGAGGAATAGCGTTGCTCAAGCCCTGCACCCCTTGGAGCATCTGCCTTTGCTGTAAATATTGGTACAAGGGGCAGCTGGTAGCTGACCATTATGTGAGCACTAAAAACCCCAACAGGGGATCCGAGTGAATGGCTTGCCTGTTTAGATGCACTGATATTTCTTGCATATAGGACTTTATGCACTAATAAATCTTAACACTCACCACACATTTTTGGTAACAGGAATTGAGATGCTATCCACGCCATGAAAGGAACAATGGATTTTTCTGGTTTTTGTTCTGTTCTTGTTCTCTGTTCCTATCTTAAATGACAGTGAGGTCCAGATTCCCTCTTGTTTTACTGGCAAACACTGGATCACACAGAAAAGGATGCACATGGTGTTCTCTCCAAGTCTTTCACCTTGGATATAGTTGGCTAACACTTCAGGAACTGGATGGTCGCCAAGGTCATGTCCAAGAACAGACAGTTTAAATGTTTTGTAAGAACGTAAAATATATGTATTATATTTATGGAATGTGTGTGTGGGCGAGTATGTGAATCCATTATATATAAGATATTGTATCTTAGCAAAGTGGTTCAGTTGAGCCCCTCAATTTTCCAGAGCCTACTAATCAATCTTTCCTGTTACATGTTTTGGCAGGCCAGCTAGCGAGGCACTGCAGTACAAGGCAGCGACTAAACCACAGCATGTTGGGGTTTATCCCTCTTTGTCTTGTGATCAGTTCTTCCCGCTCCTGGGCAAGCTAGACCCAACAGCACTGAAAGGTGCACCAAATGAGAGGCCTCATTTCCTCCTGAAAACAGGAATCATCATAGAAACTTAAGGAATGCTTTTGTTACTGAGATTTTAAAATGCTGGTTTAGGTGCCCTTTCTAATTTTCTGACCTGTTGCCCCTTTCCCTATGCAGTCTTTGCCCCTAACAGGCTTGGGCGTGGACGCAGGAGGAGGATGTTATTCCCTCTTCCCCTCTCCACATAGCATTTGAACGCAGGATGTGGGAAGGAAGAAACGTGGTTGGATTATAAACTCACTGCAACAGGGGCTGCATTTGTTCTGTTTTAGTACAACTCTAGCTTGTGACTAGAGCACTTGGCTCCCAAGCACTTTAACTCACCAGAATGATCACACAAAGGCCTTTTGATGTTTTTCCTCATGGTGCTATCATAGAGTGGCCTCCCTCTTCACTTGGATACACAACCCAAATACCATGACCCAAATACCCCAATACCTTGTCTCGGGACGGCTGCGTCCGGGTATAACAAGCCATGCCAGGAGCTGCCGGTCAGTGCTGCGGCAGCAACGCAGCCTGGCAGGAGTGCGTCACTGCATGCCCCGTCTTCCGCAGGGGACTGCATCTGCACAGGCTGCTCCCGCGGGGAGTTTCACAGGCAGCCTGAGCGACGGGTACCTGCTCCGAGGACAAGGTGAGCCGCTCTGGAGTAGAGGTCTTACCTCAGTGATGCTTGCTCTGTGCTTGCGGTTGCTGTTCATGTGCGCTTGGAGATGTGCCTGCAGCCCCCAGTGCAAGCTCTCGCATCATTTCCCAGCCACCTGCACGAGGACATTTGCTCCCTGCCAGGAGAGCTGTGCCAGGGAGGTGCGGGAGAGCCTCAGCATTCACATCATCTTACTGGTGTCCCCTGTACAAGGGGCAGGTGCTGGCCTGTGATAAAGCATAGCCTGAGATCTCGCCCTGCCCGCAGACAGAGCATGGCTATTAGCCATGCAAGTGGTACAACGCACCAGGGCTCAGGTGCTGGCCTGCAAATGCAGAGGGTAGCATCGATGTGCGCTGGCATTCGGCATTAGCACAGGAGGCCGCTTCCTTTGCTCCTTGCCACCACCCACGTCACTGCCCTTAGCTGTGTAAAGTACCATGGGCTGAGAGTGCAAACAAGCCCCTTTGCACGGATAATGGGATAGAGGGGGACAAAAACGTGTAGGAGCAGGGGAAAAATTACAGCTCAACCTGGCCAATGCAGCACAAAAGCAGAGCTTTACATCTCCTTCCTTGCATATTTTTAGTCTGAAAAGCATAAATGCATCACTGAGATATAAAAAGAAAAAGCTCCCCCCCAACTCTCCTTCCTGGAGATTTCCTAAACATGTTCTGCCCACTTCCCACTCCCCCGTTAGATACTTTTGCTACGCGCAGAGTAGGAACAAAGGACTCTTAGGGGTAAAACGGAGCTGAGTTAGGAAAAGAACAGCCCATGCTGACCTACCTGCCTGCACCAATGTACCAGCACAGACACCTGTTCAGGGAGAGACTGCAGATGACCCTTCTGGGGGCAACATGCTATAGGAACAGCTCAGCCGCTGGCGACTGTGGCAAACAGCAACATATTCAGCCACTGCCTTCCTTGTGGGCAACAAAAACCTTGCTTTTACACATGGGAATGATACAGAGCGCATACATAAACTTTTCGGATATTGGTCTTCAAGCACCCCTATCCCTAGCTGAAAATTCATTCTTCAGCTGAAGGGAAAAGGCACTCAGCTCTCATGGCATGGTGCTAAGGACCCCAGGATACAGCTGGGGAAGCCAATACCTATGCACAATGCGATGCAGTGGCTGGTGCCAAGTCACTTACAAATCCTATCTCCATCACATGCGTTACTTGCTGTGAACCACACCTCCAGCCCCACGGTGCTGCGCAGACAGCAGTTATATTGGGCCAAAGCATGGGATTTCGCACACGCACTTCCTGCACGCGTCTGCTCTGCTTTTATCTTTCAGCGATTGCTTGGCAGCTGCAGAGATCTCAGCCCTGTCCACAAGGGATAGAAGCCAAAAAACAGAAGGCAAAAGAGAACTTAGTAAATTCCACATTCTTTTCTCCTGGGAAAACTTCAGCTAAACACAAGGAAAGCCTGGACCACGGCTCTCTTTTCTACAACAGCAGAAATGTGGACAAACTCTGACAAAGCTGGTAGAACTACCCAGAATACATCAGTCACATATGATTGAATTCCCCTTACCTAGAACAGGGGTGAAAACAGGATGCACTTTTAAAAGGAGAGTCTTCATCAAGGTACATATAATGTCCTTGTCCATGCTGTTATTCACGGAAGGCAAGGAGCAACTCTTTCTATTCTCCACCAAGAGAAAGGATTTTAATTTCTTCTGCCCAGCTCTCCCTGTTTGGCTGTGCTACTTCTTGGTGTCAGCAACTGCAGATATGACCACGCCACGGTGCTGTATCACACCACGGCATATTCTGAACATGCCCTACCTTCAGCTCCTATTATAAAGAGGCTGCAGGAAGTATTTGTAGGCACCTACAGCCCACTCCTGTACTCCTACTATGCTGCAAACTCAATTCCAAGAGACATGGGCTGGGTAAAGCTCACCTGAAGTGTTTGCTGAGCAGCTGATGTTTACTTGAAAAGTTCTGCGTGTTTATGGTTGACAAAGCATAAAGGCAACATTCATACCTCCCCTAAGTAATGCAGAGTACCATTGTAAACTGATTGCTTAGCCTCGGCTATTGTTAGGATGTTGAGTCATTTTATTTCAGCCTCACCTCTAGACATAAAAGGCTGTCACCTCTGCAGTGCCCTTTCAGACAAGCAGAGGTAAAGGGAATAGATTACTGCTGATGCTCAAAATGCACAGCTTTCACTTCTCTGTGCAGGCCAGATGGTCTAGCACTGTGGCAACATTTACAGGCATATGCAAACAATCTTCCTGTAGCTGGAGCCACAGAAATCACGGGCACAGTTGGCAAGTTACAGTGATTGTGTCATGGCTGTGTTAATAATATGTCATTGTCAGTAAAATGTTTTAAATTGCAGTCATTAAAATAGGTCCGATACCTTTGGGGTAGCAGAACTGCTTTTAACCTGGAATGAACATGTACTTTGCTCTGGAGTTAGCATTTTATTTGCTTACATCAGTAATGAAGTTACCTCTGTCTACAGCTGCTCTCTCGGAGGACCAACTATCTATTCATTGATTTTTCTAGATCTACATCTACTATTTCAAGAACTAAATATCTCAGATAGAAAAGCTGCAGAACTGCATGGCTATTTGGGCTAGAAGAGCAGTCTAGAACAGTTTGCATCCTGGATTACTTCTGTGAATTAAGGAAGAGAGTACAAGTGCTACACTGGAAAACTATGCAGGCTGCTCCCAAGGACCTCGTATACCCAAAGGCATTTAGCACCTAAATTGCTTAGGGACTTCTGGGGAAAACTGCACAAATAGAGCAAGTCTGGCCAGGATTCTACTTCAGCAAATGTTTTGCCAATACTTGCCCATGTGCTTAATTTACACTGAACTATATAAAACAAATCAGTCTCCAATAGACATAGATCATTACAGTTACCAGAGCTAACTAAATGCACGCATAGAACTCACCTTGAATGGCTTGAGAAAATCCAGCTTTCTCCTGCAGCTGAGCTCAGTGATCCCTGCAGCACAACTCCCATTTCTCTCTCCCCTCTAAATTTCAGATCTTCTAAACATCTGAAAACATAGACTGCAAAAAGAGAAAAAAAAAGAAATAAAAGGTCTGATCTCAGCACCGACCTGGGTGGGGAGCCTTCACTGAGATGAAATGGAAGCAGCTCTCTTCTCCTGAGGCAACAGGGAGCATCAGTGTCCTGCCACTTGTCCTTACTGCATGGACAGAGACAATTATGACTTCTTGTCCTGGCAGGGGCAGCAAATCAGACAGGACAAAGCAGACCAAATTAGACAACGTGCTTTCTGCTGCTGTGCCAACCGCTCAGTTTTGCCAACAGGGCTTAGATCTGTCGCTGCGGTACATTTTTACCTTGCCCGGAAAAGTGACCATGTCAAGGCAGTGCCAGTATTTGTCTGTACTCTCCTTTTGTTGCTCCTCCTCTTCTTTTGCATTACTAAATGCATGTTCACAAAAGGGGGGAAAAACGATTAGGCATGGCAACGCTAGTCTAACATTTACTATTATATATTAAAAGGAGGTTGCTATGCTGTGATTAGTTTTAAGCAGTCTTTACCATTTTCATTAGCTTGCAGATGCTTTTGACATAATTATTCGCACCACAGACAGATTGTAGAAGATGGCAAAAGATGATTAAGATGAGCTTTTACTTCTCTAGAGCACTCCAGGTACCTTGTAGCTATGGAACAGGCACATAAAACTACTGCTTCCTATTCAGAACTGTTTGTTACATGAATCACGTGCTTGCTTTGCTCTGTGATGACGAATTAGAATATAGCAGCAATATTCTGGCTGCTTATTTTTAAAATATTCATGGGGCGGACCCTCATGCTACTGCTCACATTTTCTTTTTCAGGTTGCAGAAGCACCGCTTGCTAGTCTCCTCACTGGTATTTTCTTCTGACGCTAACTTTGCTGGCCAGATTCAGGGAGGAAGCTGCCTCAAGCCAGGCTTCAAGCGCTGCATGAAAATAAGTATTACTAATTGAAAAATGCTGGAATTTTTGGATGGCAGAGAAGAAACCTTGAACTCCTTTAAAATGAAAGCTACCACAATCATTTTTTTTCTCCAGCAAGAACCAGAAGGCCTGCAGTGCTATTATCCTTGCCCATAAAAACTTTTGATTTGACACTTTCTAGTCGGAATATTGGTTAGTGTGGTATTAGGAATGCACTTCAATGCTGTTGTGAGAACTTTCTGAAAGTTATTCACGATCTCTACATCAGTAGAAAGCAGGGAACTGATTAACCAAGCTTTAAGCAAGTTTGATATCCTGAGGTGCAGACATGAGGAAGAGTTATATTAAAGCTCCACTCGTTCTACACTGCTTCCAACATAAAGCTGCTTCTGGGACCCCCCCCCCCCCAGGCAGGTCCGTGGCTCTCCTAAGCAAGTAGGAGACAGCCTAGGTATTCTGTCAACTCACTGATGCTGAATGAAGCTACGGCAACGGCAGATTCAAACGCTCTGGCCCGTTACTGCCTGGTCTGGACATTAGCAGTTCTGGCACAGGAAAGTAGTCTTTTTGGCGTTCCTTTCCCAGCCAAGGAAACGTCCTGCAGAGAACCGGGTGCTAGCTAGGCTTTGAAGGCATAATTTACAGGAGAGCTGCATACACTGGAATAACATTCCTGTTACTTCTGTGACACTCCTCCGGGGCAGGGGAGGTGCTCAATGGGCACAAGCTCCTTTTAGTTGAAAGATAGCTAGTTTTAGTTATCTAGTGCAAATTCTATGATCTCAGAGGGTTACAGGTGAATGTAACCGCAGGCAGCCAGGCAGCATACCTGGTCCAGTAAACCAGGATCTGTCTCTTGTCTCATAAGACTCAAAACCAGTTTTTTACTCTGGCAACTAGTCCACATCTGCAGGACCAGCTAAAACTGACCTGTGAATAGGATCAGGCTCCTGGGCTACCAGTAAGCTATCCCAGATGTAGCAGGTAAGCCAGGGAACTAGCAAAAAGGCAGCTCGGGTTCTCTTATCAGCTCTGCTAGTGCTTTGCTATAGGAATAAAGCTTGCTGCTGTGTTGGTGGAGAAACTGAAAGACACAGGGTTAAGTTGTTGATAGAAACGCATACCTATCTGCACAAAGCTTTCAACTGCTAATCCTTATCAAGTGCTCCAAGATAAAAGGTAGTGAGTAAAGACAGTAAATGATGTACTTTGATGGAAATGTCTCAGTGCAATAACCTTCATCCAGCCACTCAAGATACTGACGTGTCTCATGCTTCATTTGAGACTTTGCACAGTTGTTTAATGTTGTTTTTAAACTGCCAGCTATATTCACCTATTGATCTGGGAAAGAAGTTATGAGACATTAATAGCAATGCATGAAGTTGCATCAGCTCCGTCCCTGACCTTGTCTCGCCACATCTAAACTCATAAAGAACTTTTCAGAAGGACAGTGAGTTTTGACACTGGCGGGATGAATGAAAACATAGGAAAAACCACCAACTTGAGAAATAGTGAGCAATTGTCCTGATTGTCAGATACGAACACAGTCAAGGCAGGCCTCCAAACTGCAGAGTTTACAGGAAGTATAAACAGCTCTGTAGAAAACATGCCAACATTGCCTCATGAAAAAAACGTACTGTTGGCTACCAGTAGTTAAGGATAAAGCCTATAACATATGATGTCTGGTATACCTCCCATTTAAAATGTTCACTCCAGATATGAATGTTTTCCAGATGTCTTTCATCAACTTTTTTTTAAAATAGATCTGTTCACTTTTAAAACTGCACTTATTCAAGGAAGACTAAACTATTTACTTCAAACTTGCACTCCTTATACTGCAAAACACGAACCCTTAAAGCAAGCCCATTACTCCTTTAACTCAGCAATATGCTCCTATATCAGGGGAGGGGAAAACTTCAGCATGTGCATACTACTCCCATCAAATGCCATCTGTAACAGATGCATATTACTTATTCTGGTTTTAGCAAAACCTTTACCCATCAATCCCCCAAAAATCTTCAGATATTTTCCAACAGAATTATTTTGTGACAATCCTAATTCTGCACTGTACCTTTATTGCAGAATAGAAACATTAGCCCAAGATTACCAGCTGTAACAGTACAAGACTCAATGCCACCAAAGGGTCCAAGTACACCAGCCTATCTGATCTTGAGTCCAAGGAAAGCAGACTCAAATACAAGACTTATGAAACAACTGTCATTTCAAATTTCATTGCCATTGTTTTGAACAATCAGCGTCCCCAAGGCAATACTGCATTTTTCACTATTATTAACTACAGTCATTTAGAGATAGTTCTCTGGTAAGTTGTAGTACCTTCTAATTTAGATTTGTGTGGAAGTTTTAATAGCCATCATCTAAATAGGAGTCAGTCCAATTAATTTCCTTTCATATCAGAATAGCACATTACACACACAAAATCAAACTGGCTCAGTTTATATGGAAACCATACTTCATAGAATTGACTTAATACACCTAAAATGCACATTATGTACAAATCATTAGATGGAGCAACAGCAGGTATCGTTCTTATCAGACCTGCCCTAGGCTCCTAGTCTGGAGCTTGGCATGCTGGGGCCCCACACCACCATCCTCCATTGCACACGCATCTCCCATCGCTCTCTCCAGTCAGTCATGTGGGACTCCTCCTCCTCTTGTAGTCAAAGTCAGCTTGGGAGATCTGCCAATGATTCTGCCAGGTACTGGAGAGACTGAGCTTGTTTTGGTTAATATTAGTTGTTCCTTGTACTCTGGCCCCTCATCCTCAGGGATCCCCTTACCACCTACAGGGAAGATGCCACAGTGATTGCAGAGCATTCCATGTGAATAATTGCTGTGCCTTCACACAGACCTCTCCGTGAAGGCAGTGGGAGTTGTAAAGATATTATTAGGCCTTATGACTTCTTAGAAAGGCTTAAATATAAAGTGTTTTATCAGGATTTCAAGGACTGGAATTCAGCAGGTTGAAATGGAACTGAAATTGTCTGCAAATATTTTTGCCAGATGTCAAAAGAGAAGCTTTGCATAACTGTTTGGGAATGAAAAAACAGACATCAAAATCACGTACAAGCTTAAAGAAAAGGAAAAAGCAAGAGTAACTCCGTTATCAAACAAACCATTATGCCTTCTTCTACGACCACTCTTCAGTCTGACTCTCCCCAACTAACAGAAGCATTACACACAGCACTGGCAGAGAGGATAAAAACAGCATCATAGTTCCAGCATAGGAAGTTCAAGGACCTGCAGGAGATCATCTATAAAAAAAATCAGGTGTAGAGCCTTGTATCAACCTGGCAAAACCACATATTACTTGGTAAGTAGTTTTAAGTACATATGAGTCAGGAGAGAAAAATGCAGAATATTTCAGTCTGCATAGAACATTCATGCAGTGCTTGCTTGGGTTTCTGAAATCATACATGAGATTTTTTTTTTTCCCCTGTTGAATCAAATGACATGAAAGCTCCAGCTCTAACTGGGGCCAATTCCCTCGGTACACACTACAGAGCTAACTGACCCCTTATATTTGGGTAGGAAGTCTGATTTACCTTTTAAATCTCTTCTAGAAGCATGGCTGGTATGCACCACAGAACGTAGAGCATTAGTCCAACTAAGGCTCACATGTAAAAAGAAAAGTTAGCTGCCTTTTTCTGTATGCTGTCCAGGCTACAGGAAGATCTGAATTCCTCAAATTCCAAGGCCCCTATTCCCCCACTAAGTCCTGAAGACGCTTTACAGCTTACACAATTGACCCTGGCCTCAATGGAGAGGTGAAAAATGGCAAAAGGAAAACCAAAAGCCAGCTCAAAGTGCATTGGAAAGACAACTCGCTGGCCAGGTGGGATAAGAGCAAACAGTCTGATTACATGCAAGTATAGCTTTAATCCTTCACAGAACTGCCGAAATCTCAGGAGCTGCATAACATACATAAGTAACCTTAACTTCTATCATTAAAAAAATTGTGCATTTGGTAGACAAGTTAATCCTTCTCCTCAAAATGTAATTGCCTGAACTTGTATGTTCATTTGCAGTGCAGATCCCTAGCTTTGTTAAAGATTTGCTCTTGTCAGTATTTTTCTCAAAACATCTGAATGTATACACATAGGCAACATTTGATTTGTTTCAGGTAACACAGTCTGAAGATACTTAAAAACTAGTATGTGCTCACAGAAATAAAGATAACTTTGTTTCTAACACTGAGATTTTTCTTGTGTAAAGTGTTTCTTGTTCTTGCTTAAAACTTGTAATCACATGTAACAGCTAACACTGAACGTTTATTTAAAAAAAAAAAATTAAAAAACATGCAAAAAAATCCTCTTTAAAACCAACACAAAGTGACCCAACTGATGTTTTACAGAAAAGTGATAACCCCGTATGGCATGGATTCTTCTGAAACTTCCAGCAAACATTTTCTGGTAGAGTCCATGCTCCGATTACACTGTGCAGTGATGCAAGTCCAGCCATTCAAAGCCAATCACATAACAGAGCACTTCCCTTTCAGTTTATCTTTCCTTTTCTGCTGCTTGGATTTCTTTCCATCCACTTGAAGACTGATAGTTCTTCTCTTCTCAAGATTCAGGAGCTCCTGGAAGAGCTCCTGTACATTGTAGTTCATTTTGGCGGATGTCTCCATGAAGGAACACTTCCACTTGCTGGCTAGTGCTTCCCCCTCAATGGCATCCAGCTCCCTCTGGTTCTCATCACTTTTGTTACCAACTAACATTATTGGGATTTTTTGGATATCCCCTTTAATCTGACAAATCTGTTCATAAATCGGCTGAAGCTCTTCCATGGACTGCCTGCTGGTGACAGAGTACACCAAGATGAAAGCATGCCCTTTGGATATAGACAGCCTCTGCATAGCAGGGAACTGATGGCTTCCTGTGGTGTCTGTAATCTGAAGGGTGCAGATGCTCTTATCACAGCTGATTACCTGCCGGTAGGTATCTTCAATTGTGGGGATGTAGGCTTCCCTGAAAGTTCCTCTTACAAAACGAAGGACTAAGGAGCTTTTGCCAACCCCTGCTGCTCCAAACACAACCACCCTGTAATCATTGCTTTGTTCAGGCATGTTTGTTGTGCTGTGACACAAGTGAAGATTTGAACTGAGAATGCCCAAGTTTGAGTTTACATACCCCTATACAGAGATGGCCTGTGGAGAAGGTGAGGGGAGGGGACAAAGGGGAAGACAACAGGAGCAGAGGGGAGAAGAAGGAAAGAAAGAAGTCATTCACTGATTTCACAATATGCTATTTCAATAGCCAATTAACTCCCCCCCATCCTTTTCTCGTGCATTAAAGAGAAAAAACCATCTCCCCCACACATACATCCCAAATGCAGCAAATGCTATTAGGAATAAAAACTGTACTTCACCTGTAGCCATCAGCTCCCATACCCGGTGCAAGGAGATGAAATTCGCCCGCGAGCAGTGATGTGCGGCAGCCTGGCTCCTGGGAGCTGCCCGGTGCCAGGTCAGGTGCCCGCAGCCGGCGCGCTGGCTCCCCAGGGCCACCAGCGCTGCGCTGCCTGCCTGCCTCCTTCGGGCAAACACCAATCCCAGGATTGCTCATTTTCTCCCTCTTGCTATATATTCCATCCACCCACTCCCTGTGGGTCCCGAAGAGCAACAGGAATTACTAATGCGGAAAAACCCTAGAACTGCAGTGTCCCTAATGATGGATGCGAGCTAACGCACCAGGCTGCACCATTTCCCCACTGAAACAAGAAGGGCAAGTACCACAAGCAGAGTAAGGCTGAATCCTTTTAGGGGAAGAAAAGCATTCCTGAAGCTTTGCAGTGTTTTTCCTCAAGTCCCTCTCACTTACCTCAGCCTTCAGAGACCTTACCCACCTCTACGCCTTCCCCCCCCCCCAAAAACCTCCTCCCCCCCAAAAAGCTCCTTAAATAAATCCAAAAACTCTCAACACAAAAATTTTATCTCTGAATCCAGTGCTCAAACCTTTTAGATCCAAGCAAATTTTGGTTCTCCATCCTTCAAATTCCACGCACAAATAGAGAGAATAAATAGTAAGTCTCTTTTACTCCATCTTCCCCCCCAACCCCTCCTACACAGCTGATATGCAGGTGCTGACAGGTCTCGGTTTCCACCCAGGCTGGCAATTTCTCAGCTCACCTTCAAGGCCAGTTTTATTTCGAGGGAACCATTTGAGGTGACAGGGATGATCCGTGACATTTAACAAGTTCTGCAGCCTTCCCTCAGCTCCCAAACAAGCCATTGAATCTTTTAAAGATCTCCAAGACCTACTTCTTTGATTTTATTTCCCACCCTGGGAAATAAACTCCCTGGCTACTTAGGGAAGAAAGATCCACATTCCACAGTTTGTGACGCCTCATTTACAAGAAGTTTTATAAAATGCCATCTCTTCCCATATTCTCTTTGAAGGCAACAGGCGGGATTACACAGCACCGCAAATAACTCACGGTGCCTTGCAGGAGAAAGCCCTTTCGCCTCAGTTTCCCCATCTCTAAAAAGCACACGGCATCCATTCCCCTAAGGCTACTTTCGGGCTCTCTGGGCACAGCCCGCGCTTTCTCGGCGGTGCTGCCGCAGGAGGAGAACTGGGGCTGCCCCGCGCCCTAGCCAACGAGGGAGAGATGAAACAGGGAGGAAAAACCGCCTC